AAAAGTATACTTGAAGTATACTTTAATATACTACTTTTTGCTAAGGGCGGGGCTTGTGATTCATGCAGCTTTAGACCCATTTCAAGCAGCACTTATCATCAGAGTGTGCACAAATCCCAGAACCAACCAACTGAAGAGGGGTTTTCGACTCGTAGCTGCTGAATTGTCCAGTTTCCCTTTTTAATCCAGAAACAATGTATTTCGTTGAGAACAACAAAGATAACATTACTTACTAATATATTTACCTCTACGTTAGATTTATTGCTCTGGATGAAGTTTTTTTCCCTCCAGATAGAAGTTTTACAAGGCAATAGCCTATGCTAGGTTATCTAAACATTAGCTTGCTAACTTGAGAGGCACATAGCTAATGACAAGTGGGTTGGAGGATTGAAGAGAATTTATTATTGATTTGTTTTACAGATCAGTTAAAATAAACTTACCATGCACTGTTCACCAAAATATGTTACACAGTATTGTTCTCTGCTTCGTCTGTGCTGAATGTGAAACTTAAAGAGAATTGACATGACTTTACAGTAGTCTTCATGGATACATTGTACAATTACGGCTGGTTTCCAGTATTTTAGGAGTGAAAATTAGAAGTTATATTGGTGCATAATAGGACAAATATCACCGATACCGATAGGTCCCCAAACACCCATATTGGCCTAAAATATTGGTCTACCGATATATCGGTCGGGCTTTACACATAGTGCATGAGCCTTGTATGGTTATGTTAGCGTGAGTTCCTGTTGCTCTGCTGCTGATGCTTTTAACAAAATACTCGTCTCTGTTTTCACAATATGCACATGTTTGCATAAGTAAAATGAATATTTTTTGTATAGTCTTGGAATCTGGGTACAACATTGTAACAATGGCACTATGTTTTGTGCTTTTTATACTGATGGTGCGATACTGCACAAATAACACATTAATTATCAGTGACTTCAACATATAAATAGTGACTGGTGTAGAACTGGGCAAGATGGCAGCAAAATACTTTGCCTAGTGGTCAGTCTAGTGAATTTCTATTTCAGTAGGTGTCACGTTAAATCAGGGACCAGTCTGAGCAAGCTGAGCACATGGTCTTTTACTGCTGGACCCGAGTGAGGCATCGGGATATGTGCTGGTTTATTACTCCATGTGCCATGGCTACACGTAAGGTCTTAAACATGTTTATACTTTTCACATCCTCTCTCGCCCATGACAAATGTTGTCATCTTACTTGCCAACTGATCTGCCATCTGTGTCAGAGGATGAGCTGTGTGCTGCAGTACACGAACGATGACACCAGAGCTCCAACAGACAAAAACACCTGCAGATCAAACCGTGATCAGAACACTTACAATTCAGAAATCTAAAATCTAAAGGTCCCAAAAAAAAGTTCACATTTTTATTAACAACAAATTAATTACAGATAACTTTAAAGAAATTTCCCATCTTGAAGTTTTAACAGTTAAACGTGAACTTTTTGTCTCAATGAGTTTTCTGGGAATTTTTCTTCCTCCAAAGGGAGGCACAGCAAGAAATGTCTGAGAACCACTGGTTTAAAGTAGCATTTATTGACAGGTGGGTGCTGATTATAAAAGGAAGTTGGGGAGGATGCAGTGGTAAGCATGTGTCACTGTTGCAATGTGATACCTTGCTCAAAGGCATGTATGACCACTGGATGACGAGGGACACTGCTGATTGATGCCCTTTCATTATTGCACTGCTTGCTGCAGCTCCCACAGTAGTGCAACATGGAAAGAGTGTCAAGCACAGAGCATCTTGTAGCCGTTCTTCTGATACGGTCCATTTCTTCAAATCAAAGGACCTGTTCCGTCTGTGTGAGAACAAAACAGTTTCTTTGGCCTTATGAGGTGTTCTATGTTGCTTTATGGCAAAGGTTATGTTAGTCGTTCAAAACTGGGAACGAGCCAAGTTAAAATCCACAGAAGACTGAAAACAAAAATTTCCACAACACTGAAAAGTTAAAATAATTCCAAACGTATAACAGATATAGAACCTGACAAAGGCAAAAAGTAAGACTATTCAAGAGGTTTCATACATACGGTATATTTCTTTTTTTCAGCTCCTACATAAATAATCTGTGTTGGCAGTTTCAGAGCAGAGGAAGAAATGTGCTGTAAAATGCAGCTGTTTGTCATTCGTGGACGCATGGAGAGATTACTGCTGACTATTTTAATAAACCAGAGTAGTGCACAATGAAGCTGGATGACTGGGTTAAGCTTAAAAACTTTCTTTTTTTTTTTTTACAAAGATGGCCCTTTGTTAAACGAAAGAGATAATCATGAAAATGTTTGCTAAAATAATCTGGTCCAGAACCTATGAAAATGAAATAAAAGATTTAAATCAGTCAAGTGTAAAAATATATAAAACCCATGTGTTACAGACAGTATTATTGAACATATTTGCTACACACACAGGTAGACAATGGACGGACAGACAGAAGAAATGTAATATAATCTATTTCATATCTATGAATTTATCTGCAAGTCTAAATTTTGATACTAAACTTTATGCAAAGTCATGCAAATGTTGAGAAAATCATTACATAAAGATTAATTGTAGCTGTGCAGAAATATTAGTAAGGGGTGAGCAGTTTGGAGACTCATTGAGCTTGATACACAAAGTTACGTGTTCCTCTGAATAAACTGATAGAAAAATACTTTGAATGCCAACTAAGGATTAAAAAGTGCAGTAAAGAGGCTCATCAAACATTTATGTATACCTGCATATATAAAAAGGATTTTATACATAAGATTAAACAGAAATGTATTGGTCTCAACTGGAATTCTGTAAATTAAATTGGACAGTAATGAAAGTGAATTATCGCGGTCCTAAATCAACGCCAACCTCAAGAGTTTTTGTGGTGCATGAGAATTTATAAACCCTTGCAGTGCCGTCAGTGTTGCAGAACATGGTTATTTTGGCAGAAACGCATTCCTGATAAAAGTGGAAGAACTACAGCTAGCTGCTACTGTTGCAAATAATTGTCATGTGATCTAACAGCGGTGTAAAGGTGTTTGAAATAATATTGGCTTGAATCGCTTCAAAACAGTAGAGATTGGAGCACCGGTAGTTTTAAAATGGCACCAACTCATTTTGGTCTTTGCCTTGTTCTATTGGTTATCTTGTCAGCCCAGTCAGAATTTAAACTATTTCTCCAAGACAGGTTGTTTTAAAAAGCTTTTACCAAGGCAGGTAAGACACATACTTACTTATGTTCTCACAAATAATTTGTTCTTAGTGTTTCTGCCTGGTTAAATAAAGGTGAACTGAAACATCCATCCATCAGTGGTTGACCGTCAGGACACAGTCAGAATCATTAACTTATGTTTAAGTTTTTAACATTATTTTGTTCTCTCTACTGGTTGTGCAGCTTCCAGTAGTATATCGTTCCATAGAGCTTTTATCCAGTCATATTTCGTCTATCACGTGCTGCGATCATAGGAGTGGTGCCACAGGTCAGTGGAGCACTCGGTGCTGTGACCCCCACACTGGAAGAGTGGCTCCAGCAGAACCCAGGATCAACTTCAGAGATCTCTGTCCAAAGAGTGCAGTCCAGGGAACAGCTAAGATACTGGAGAACCCTCAAACTCCCAGGGCTCTGGTAGAGGACCAGAGGTGAATTTGAGCCACCTGTGTGGAGAAATAGAGCAAGCAGGATGTTTACGTACTGTATATGTACCGTATTATTGCAGGAGACTACATATTATGTACCATTCAGTTCCTAAAAGTATATTTTTGATGAGTTTCTCATTAAATCACAAGCTGACTTACAGCTACTGATAAATTGCTGGTGTTTACAAGTTTTTGACAAAACTGAGGAGCAGTTAAGGGCTAGGTGACAAAACAGTAAGAAAAACATTTTACAGCAGACAAACACTGACTTAAGAAGCTTCAAGCGTCTTCCTCAGTTTCACCATTCATGGCCGATCTTCACTGCGCTCGTCTCTCACTTGGGCGGAGCGGGATT